CGCCGCCAAGGGGGCCCAGCGCGGATCCAAGAAATCCGCGCGGACCGTCGAAAATTTCTGTGTATGCCGTTTGTTGCTATTCGCTGAAGCCTCCGCTGGGGTTCAGAATCCGAAGGATGTCTGCAGCCGGATGGATCCCAGCGGGGATCCGACGCCCCAGCGGCGATGGCACAAGCAGTGGCAGAGTTCGCAGGTGGTTTAAAAGGCGGAAGACGGGGCCCTGGGCCGTTCCTGACGGACGCGGGACGGGGGAGGGCCCTGAGCTCGAGCGCTCTACCTCGCGGTCGGACCAAGGACTAGAAGACGGAAAAACGCTATAGACATTAACTTTTGGCGCTCCACGTGGATTTCTTGGATCTGCGCTGAACCCCCCTCCCTGGCGCGCGGAGCACGCCAGGGGCGGCGCCTGAGGCGCCGCCGGGGTGGGGGGCAGCGCGGATCCAAGAAATCCGCGCGGAGCGCCAGCAGTTTACACGTCGTTCATTTCTAATCGCGCTCATTTCTAATTGTGCTCGTTTCTCGTTGTTATTAGCCCCCTAGTGGCCAGGAAGAGGTCCAAGATTGAATACTTAGAAATGAAAGGATCTTGGCCCAAAAAAATCGAATAACTTTCGAATAATGTGTTTGAAACAATGTGTATGCTTACGGTGTTTTTCTTCCTCAAAAGGCAGAGAAAACATCCTTCAAGACCACGAGATCCTGAGCCGGCCAGGCCGAGGAGCACTCGAGGGCATGCCCTCGCCCAGGACGCACAAGAACATCCAGCAAGCACGAAGCACATGAGGGCACTCAGGATTTCGTAATTGAGGGAGCGGGTCACATTTGGGGGGGGATCTGATTTGAGTTGTCTTGGAGGACTCCAGAGGGGTCTGGGCAAAAGGCCGCCCTTCATGGCTGGTCGGGGGGGGGTCTAAAACTGCTCGTCTGGGAGCGGTGTGAACCCCCTCCCTGTTTCGGGTCGGGCGAAAGGGGGAGATAGCAAAGGGGGGGTTTGAGAATCAGCTCACGTAGCTGATTTTCCCGGCGCCTCCCGGAGCCGGAGACGGCTATGCATCGAGGAATGGGCCACTCGGTGGGGCCGAAACCAGCTGCATGCAGCAAATTTCGTAACCCCCCCTTTCCCAATCCCCCCCTTTCGTCCGGCCCGACTGTTGTTACGAAATCTGGAGTACCCTCGCCGAGTACCCTCGCCGGACCGACCCCGATCGTATACCTCGCTCCGGCCGTGGCGTGTCTGTTCCGCGGGAGCCTGCCCCGATCGAGCCCCTCCTGGAGCGGCAGTGCCCCTTGCTGCGGCGGCCGCCACAGGGCCCGTCACCGCACCCCCCGCCCCTGGGAGGGCACATTGTGACACCCTGGTGGAGGAGGGGGAGGAGGAGCAGGAGGAGGAGGAGGAGGAGGAGGAGGAGGAAAAGGAGAAGGAGGAGGAGGAGGAGGAGGAGGACGACGACGAGGAGGAGGAGGAGGAGCAAGGGGGAGGAGGAGGAGGAGGGGGAGGGAGAGGGGGAGGAGGAGGGTGGGCGGGGGGGAGAGGAGGAGGAGGAGGAGGAGGAGGAGGAGGAGGGAGGAGGAGGAGGAGGAGGAGGAGGAGGAGGAGGAGGAGGAGGAGGAGGGGGAGGGGGAGGAGGAGGGGGATCCAGGTCTGCGGACGTCTGTGATGCCCTTCTCGCCGATGTGTCGAGGAGGGGGATGACGGGGGGGGAAACGGGAGGATCCATATCCACCGCCTGGGAGCCGCAGGAGGAGCGAGGGGGAACGTGGAGGCTGAGGATCCGGGAGGAAGGGTAGGAGAAGCAGCAGCATCAGAATCGCTCATGGGATCCCCCGTCCGCCGGCTCTCGACGCACGAGGCAATGCCTGGGAGAGCGAGGGCAGGAGGAGGAGGAAAAGCGAGAGCAGGCGGGAAAGGCAGCCTGCTCCGTCTGGGCCGTCAAGTCCTGCAGCAAGATCTCGAACGCGTGCTTCGCGTTCATCTCCTGCTTCTCGGTGTCCGTGCGCTCGTCGATGAACTTGCGGCGGCTCTCTTCCACAGCGCGTGCCATTTAGAACGCATGTGCGTGGTGGAGGAGGGCGGGAGGAGGAAAGAGGGAGAAGAGGGATCGAGGACGGAGGGAGGAAGAAGGGAGGAGGAGGAGGAGGAGGAGAAAGAGAAAGGGAGAGGAGAAGCGTGGACAGTTTCAGATGTTGCTGCACGGCTCTGCACGGCCTCAGGGGGCCGTTGGGTTCATGGGTGGACCTGGGCGGGCGGGCGGGCGCAGGCTGTGGCGGGACCGGCAGCACACACGTGAGACGTGCCGAGCCGCCACGGCGGGCACCAGAGCTGAAGCGGTCCGGCTCACGAGCTCCATCAGATAGGAACGACAGGGCGGGCAGAGGAAACAGCAGGGTGGACACAACTGCACGACTGGAGCGAGCAGACAGGCAGCCTCCTCGCACGCATGAAACATGAAGCCCACGCCAGTGGCAGGTGGCAGGAATCTCATGTCAGCAACAAGGGCGCGGCCATACTAATGCAGATGCAGAAATGCAGAAACGAATGCTTTGATGGACATGCTACTAAGAGCCAGCCGTGCCACTGACACCTGCAACGTGGTTTACCTAAGCAAGTACTGGTAGTATCAGTTCACACCTGGTGGGCAGGCTTTCGATTGCGCCAGTGTTTCGCATACTACCGGGGCAACCGTATGACGCGCAACACTTGCGGCGTACCACTGTGACTGAGCAACGCTGTTGCGAGCTAACCGAACGTGAGTGCAAAAATGGTCGAGCGGTAAACCAGACTGCATGCCCTGCGACGGCACACCGCACACACACACACACACACACACACCGACTGTAAGCAATACGACCACGATGCCCGTTACTACAAGCGGCTAGACCTGATATTGCCTCTGAACACTACTGGTATCATGAACGCGGTGCGATCCGAACTAGGGCTGCTACTTCAGCCGAGTGACAACTGAACGTCTGATGATCGTGATATTAAAAGCATACCGACGCTTCAAAAACACTGCAATCAACATACAAATATATACATACACATACACACACACCCACACACACACACACACATGTATACTAGAACCAAGCGCGCGCTTCCCGCGCGTTCAGGTTCTAGCCGTGCCTGAAAAACACGAATTGCAAATTGCCCATGAGCTGCGACCTGAAAGTAGAGGACGGGCAGTAGGGGAGGAGGGGGGGGGGAGGAGAGGAGGAGGAGGAGGAGGCGGATGAGCAGGAGGAGGAGGAGGAGGAGGAGGGGGAGGAGGAGGAGAAGAAGGAGGGGGAGGAGTAGGAGTAGGAAGAGGAGGAAGAAGATCGGATACGTTCTATAGTTAGGAAAATGTTACACCGAGGTGGCCCATCGCTGCCGCTGCCGCCCACGCCTCCAACGATCGGCACGGAGGCCCCCGTGCGGACTGCACTCAGGCGGGCCTGTCGGGAACGGCCAGTCTACTTATTCGCCGTTTTGGCGCTCGCCACGTAGGATGAGGAAGAGAAGCAGAAGCAAGCAACCTGGAGGCTCGGATGCCTCTTCAACGCTTCTTGCGCATCTCTGGATCCGCCTGGGGACCAAAGGAGGAGCTGAACAAAGAAGAGGGGTGCCCGAGTATGGCCCCGTAGTGCACGCAGCCATGGCCAAACCACGGTGAATCGAAGGCCGCACCCCCTCCCCGTCTGGCCACGCATCTGGGGCCAAAACTACGGTGCAACGAAGGCCGGAAATCCCTCCTGGTCGCACCCGCAGGGCCTCAAGTTCGATGACGTTGCCTTCATCACTGAAGAGCTTTCGGGCCACCTCCAGCCATCCTTCGGCATTCTTTGAGCCTCTTGGACGGACACGTGCTGGAGATGCGGTCTCGGGCGTCTCTGGGGGCCGTTTTGGAACCCTCTTGGGGGCTCGCATGGTCATCTTGGAAGTCACGTGCGGCCGTTTTGAGACCGCTTTGGGGGCATCGTGGGCTGTCTTCGGGCCCTCTTAGGGCCGTACCGAGGCCGTCCAGGGTGCCGTCGTGGGCGGTCGGAAGCCAGGAATAGCGAAAACACACAAAACCTTCAAATACCTCAAGGACATCAATGTGCTTGGCCTCATCAAGACCTCTTCGGGGCGCACTGGGGGCTCTACGAGACCTCTTGGGCCGCCCGCCTTGAGGCCTCCTGAAGTCCCTGGGAAGGGGTACCAAACAAAAGGGCGAGATGGTAGCGAGGTGCCGGGCCCCCAGGCGAGGATCGAGGTCCGAAATTGTTGTCTTCGGGGGCTCTCGTCGTCGCCGCGGCAGGACGCATCTTGAAGCGATGTGTTCTTCCGAGGAGGTGCAGGACGAGGACGGAGAGGGAGATGAGAAGGCAAAATCATCAATAGTAATTGGAGCAGCAATTGGGCCGGCTTGGAACCGTGTGGTCGGCGTCTCGGGAATCACACCACCGTCCGCAATGAGGATCGTTGGCGTTTGGCACTCGTTACGTGATGAAACACAAGAACTGGACGAAAGGCAATGCATTTAGTATCTCGGGGCCTTCTTGGGTATCCTCTTGGGGCCTTTTTGGGCAACTCCACGTCATCTCGGGCCGTCCTGGGCGCTCCGGGGACTGGGACGCGCGCCCGACGGCGCCCCGCGGGGCGGCGCCGGCAGGTCCCCGGGGAGGGTCCCGGGAGCGCTGCGGGGCGGACATTCGCGCGCGCCGAGCGAGGCATATGGGGCGTGTCCCAGTCCGGGGCGCAGATGCGCCACGGACTGGGAGCATAATGTCCCACTCCGGGGCGCACATATGCGCCACGGACTGGGCCTGTCCCAGTCTGGGGCGCACGTGCGAGCGTGGCGCATCTGCGCCACGGCGCGCCCCGGTCGCACCGGCGCGCGTCTGAAGGCCTGCCTGCGAACGTCTTTGTTCAATCGGCGTTTCGACAGTGGTGATCTGGCTCCGGTGACCTCTGCTTCGTGCGACTTTTTGGAACCGTGAGTCCTATGGGGGAGGCTCCACCCGCCAAAAACAGCCAAGACCTACTCCACGGGTGGGGGGGGCAGGGGGGGGCGAGGGCCCGTGCCGATCGGCAAAAAACAATCATGAAAAAAACGCTCACCTTGAGGAGGCTCGGGAGGCCTCCGTTTTGAGGCTGCCCCACGCGAGGGCGCTGTTTTGGAATTCGTCGCCAGATCCGGAGTTACCAGACACGGGCCAAAAGGGGCTCTGAGGGCCTCCTTGGGGAGGCTCGGGAGCCGGTTTTTCGAGGATGCCCCTGGCGAGGGCGCCGGTTTGGAATTCGTCGCCAGATTTCCTGGATTATTTAATAACGGGCCGAAGGGGCCTCTGAGGGCCTCCTGGGGAAGGCTCAGGGAGCTGGTTTTGTAGGATGTCCCACACGAGGGCGCCGGTTTGGAATTCGTCTCCAGTTTCCCCAGAAACAAAAACAGGGGGCCTCTGAGGGCCTCCATGGCGAGGCTCGGGAACCCGTTTTCTGAGGATGTCCCACGCGAGACCGCCGGTTTGGAACTCGTCGCCAGATTTCCCGAATTTCGCGGAAACGGAACAAGAGGGCCTCTGAGGGCCTCCTTGGGGAGCTCGGGGAGCGGTATTTCTGAGGATCTCCCACGCGAGGGCGCCAATTTGGAATTCGTCGCCGAATTTTCCGGATTTCTTGGAAACGGAACAGGGGGGCGAATGGCGGGCCCATCCACTCGTGCACTTGGGGCCAGGATAGCGTGACTTCTCAAGACGAACTCCTCCCTCAAATTAGCACAGACTCAGTCGAAACTTGTTCCCAACCATCCTTTGGTGTTGGGTCCTCGTTTTGAAAAGACAGCGGCCCGCGTTCTCCTCCTCCCGTCTCCTTCCTCCTCCCCCTCCTCCCTCCTCCCCCTCCTTGCCTCTGCTCTCCGCATGTCAACAACCTCGGCACACCCCTCACACGCTTCGTGGCCCCATAGTGAGCTCCACCGAAGGCCCCAGTGCCACCGCCCGCATGCGTCACCCACACCCATTTCGGCACACCCCTCACACGTTTCGTGGCCCGATAGGGAGCTCCACCGAAGGCCACAGTACCACCGCCCACATGCGTCACCCATACCCATTTCGGCACACCGCCCCTCACACGATTCGTGGCCCCATGTGGATCACAACTACATCTGGTTTGGTCTTTCGCAAGGCTAGTTTTTCTCTGCACTTCCCGTAAGAACGACATAATGACGCTCGGCACGTGCTGCCACATGCCATTACAGCCTAGAGGTAGCATTCCCACAAAAAGTCCATAATGAGCGGAAGAGCCGGTGGCGGCGTAGACGCTGCAAGTGAAGTCGCCGACGCGTGGTTCTACAACTCACCATCTTTCTTTCTCTGTCTGGCCTTCTCCTTGCGCTTCTGTTCGATTTTCGAAGAGCGGTCGTGAATCCACTGGTTTGAAACAAACTTGCTACCCTTTTCAACGGTAAGGGCGTCATGAAGAGAAAGCTCGTCCCTGTTGCCGTCCTCGAGCATGGAATAGAACGCAATAGTCGTGCCAGTGGGCGCATTCACGACGATGCCTTTGCCTCCGGCCGCGAGGGGGAAGGCGGTTCCGCCGCCAAAGGTCGGAGGATCCAAGTAATGCAAGAGTGTCAGCATCCTGTCGTGCTCTCTGTCCCCAAAGTCGAAGTGGGCGGAATACTTGCCTCCCTGGTTGTAGCTCGCCAGCTGCAGAGACTCTGCCAAACCACCTGCTGTCAAATGACTCTCCTTGAAGTTGAAGATGTCCGCAGTGCGCTGGCTTATGCGTTTCATCCAAGGCTCACGCCAGTCGATCCAGCCCACATCACTTTTGCGCGTGTCGCTGACGATGGAATTGCTGCCATCTCCCACTGTAGCCGTCCTCAAATTTGACTTTCTTCGAATCAAGTCCATCTCCTCTTCGCAAATCCTCCACCGTGCTTGCACGATAGTGGAGTGGTGGGGAAATTGTCAATTGTTTTGTAAGTCTTCCACAAATGTCCTGCCTTTCCCCCTCGAATCAAGTGTCCGTAAGAGATCGCCCCCT